GGCACAGGGACCTGGTAGAAATGGCCACCCCTGAGGATGGGTATGAGGCCAATGAGAGGCTCACAGGTTTTCAGTGCTTGGTGGAAGATGATGTAAGGGTTGCGTTCGATGGTTGCCTGTTCCTCTGCAGAAGTAGCATGGTACTTCTCAAACTGTTTCCTTTTCACGGCTTCCAGAGTCTGGGTCACAAGGGATCTGGCCAGTATTTTATTTCCTGCTTTCATCATCATGTTGGTGAATCTACCGATCACTGGGTTTGCAAACACAGAGCATGTTGTCGTCGCTGGGGCTGCTTTGACGATCTGAGTCTTCCTGAGCTCCTGGACATATTTCTTCTCCTCAGTGAGCTTGGTCTCAGGCTTGTGGTAATGTTCTTTAGTAACTAGAGGATCCCTGAATTCTGCCCCCCCACCCCCAGCTGTTTTTTTTTTTTTAAGGGGGAAGGACTGATGTTTTGAAAGAGTATTTATTTGTTTGCTTCTTTCTTTTTCATTTTTATTTTTTTGGTTTTTTGAGACAAGGTCTTGCGGTGTGGTTTAGGCTGGCCTTAAACTCATTCTGTAGCCTAAACTGGCTCAAGCTCAGTGTAATCTTCCTGCCTCAGCCTCTGAGTGCTGGGATTACATGTGCCACCACACCCTGCTGTTTTTCTTTCTTGTTATAAAAGCATCCTTCATATTGCATCTGCTCCCAAAATAAATAGGCACAAAAAAACAAAAAGAGGATAACTCCATGACTTTTGTTTGCTTTGTTTTGTTTGCGATGTGGGTAGAATTTAAGGTCTCATGCTTGCTATACCACTGAGCTACGCCAAAGCCCAAGAAGATAATTTCAAGACTCAAATCCCCACCCATGCCTCCATTCATCTAGATGCTTCCTGTTAGTCTTTATCCTTTCAACCTGTCTTTCTGGCTTTCCCTCCACCACACCTCTCCCTAGGGCAGTCAGGTGCTCCCTGGCAAGGCCCTGGCTAAAGGGTATAGAAACTGTTCTTTCTCTGCAAGTGGGAACTAGGACCCACTCCCCCCAAAAGTCTCACTTCTTAGAGTCCCTTTTCCATCTTCCCATGATATCCTGCATTTCCTAAGGAACTCAGGCTGTCTGTTTACCGAGTATGTCTGACGTTCATCACCCTCACCCTCTCTGGAGGTACACACTTCATGTGTGACCCACAGGATAAACAACAGCCTGACAGTTTGTTCACAGTAGGTGCCCAATAAATGTTTGAATGCATAAATCAAGGGTGAGGGTCAACTGCACTCTAGTGGAGTGGGGCTGTAGTTCAGGAGCACTGGCTTCAGAATTACCTTGTGCAGGCTTCCCCCTCAATATTAGATTTATTACTCCCACACAGTTTTTCAGTGATATTCCCATTTATTTCACTTTCAGTAATAAATGCTTTCCTCTTACATGATGGAACATATTTTGCTTTAAAATTAATGGTCACGGGCCAGGGACTTAGCTCAGTGGTTTTGCCGCCTGCTGTGCAAGCGCATAGGACCCAAGTTCGCTCCCTGGTACCAAAAAAATATATAGATAATAAAATAAAATAAAATTAACGGTCACAATTGAAGAAACAGTGGCTTATTTCTCTAATTAAGTGACCAAACTGCTGAATCTTTTTTTTTTTTTTTTTTTACAGTGGCTTATTTCTCTAATTAAGTGACCAAACTGCTGAATCTTTTTTTTTTTTTTTTTGGTACTGGGGATCGAACTCAGGTCCTTCCACCTGTAAACTGCTGAATCTTAAGGCCTCAACAAATGTTGCACCTTATTATTTTCACTGAACAATAAGACTATTTTGATTATTCCTGGTGAGTAGCAATTTTGTTTTTCCAGTGGTTTCCATTTGCCAGATAGCCATGACAGATGGTTCAACATGGTGCCCACCACTTCCAGGGATTCCATCTGATGAGTCCTCTTTCCCAGTCCAACAGGTGTGCCGGCCTTCACCCAGAGTCCAGCCATCTGGACTTCTCTGTCTCGGCTGGCCAAGAAGTCCCACTTTGGCTGCCAGGGCCTCGTTCTGCTGAATACGGTATTCCTGAAACCTCATGGATATTCTTTGTATCATTTTTAAATATTTCTGTAAGCAATATTCTGAACAGGTGATCTCTTCAGGTTTTACTTCTCTTGTTGTGAAGTCTTTAACACAGTCCAAAAAGCAGGTTTCTGTAAGTTTATTGTAAGTTCCCAGATATTCCCTAAACTGTTTTATCTGATCAGATTCTGATATCTGTGCAGCCATATTCTTTTGGTTTATTTATGAGTCACCTTTTCTGATGCATGAGTTTCCTGAGTTCCTAAGAAGCCGTTTTCCAACCTTTGCTCAGGGTTCCAGTGAGGCCTGATTTCTGCTCAGTGACCGGCTTTTATGTCAATATGAGGCTGGGGGGCTGCCACAACTGTCAGGGATGTGGGTGGCTGGGTGGTCAGGGTTACTCTCACGCAATTTTGCTAGCCTGTCCACCCCGAGAAGATTTCAACAGTTTTAGAAGAACGAAATCATTAGCCCACTCTAAACTTTCAGGGCCATGTTACAACTACTCTTGGAGAAGAGTATTTTACTACAAAACCAAACAAGGACTTCCTGGAATCATGTGGCGGAGGCACTGCAAGTGTACAGAAGGCCCTTCTCCCTGAATGGCCAGGTCCATTCCAAGCAGTCTGAGGAGCTAGGGCAGTTTCGCTGCCTTTTGCTACTGATTTTGCCAATGTGTCCAAGACAGCTGCTCACTGGTACAGTATGGACAAGTAACCGAAAAAAGGAAGTATACAGTGCTTCCCACCCTTTGAAGAAGTCTTTCTTGACTTGTTTCCTGCCCACTTTAAGCACTTCTTATTCCATTGACCCTGAACACTGGCATAGGTTTGGCTATTTTGTGATCATTTCTTTGTTGCTTAGAATTGCTGTCTCATTGTTACACATAAAAATGTGTTCACCTGGGAGCAGGAACTGTACCAGAAGAATGTACAGCCTGGAAATCAGGCTTTATTCTTCACCAGCCTTCTTACCTTGGTCCAACTGATCAGTCACCCATAGCTGTAGTTTCCTTCCTCATCTGCAAAGCAAACTTCTACTAATTCTCTGTGCATGAAATAGTACTATTACAAGTATAGATAGCCATGTAAAGCATGACCTAAGTGTACTGCATTGTCTTTGGTGGGGGACACAGTTTTTTTGTTTTTTGTTTTTTTCTTTTTAGATAGGGTCTTCACTATGTAGTTCAGGTTGGCCTTAAATTCATTATGTAGTCCAGGCTGGCCTCAAACTCATGTGATCCTCCTGCCTCAGCCTCCTGAGTGCTGGGACTATAGGTGTGTGCCACCACACCCAGCTCTATGGCTCTATGCAGTAGATTTTTAAGAGTCAGGAGACAGTATTGTACTGCAGGACTGTGAGGTAGGCACTGGAATCAGACGTCTGTGTGCACTTGGACAAATCAGCTTCTCTGTTTCTGTTTTTGTTCAAGAGGAACAATGGTCCGAAGGGGAAAAATAAGGCACTTCACAGACTTGATATGAGGATGAAATGAGTGATACATTCAAAGCTTACCAACAATATTTGCACATAGGACACACAAACATGATCTATAGCTGCTCTACACTATCGAGTCAAGGAAATCTGAGAATGAGGAATGACGGGGGCAGACAGTGCGGAGAATCAAGGTCATGGGGGGCACAGAGTAGAACCAGAGCCCTTCTACACCAGCAGCTTCCAGCCTGCAAAATAGGAAGGGAGCATAGAGGAGCTGAACTTCTGCAGCTCTTTGGGTTACAGTTGGAGGATGAGTTGGCTGGGTGGGGGTAGAGCTGTTAGAAAGGAGATCCCCAAAACCTGATATAGTTTGGGAGCTGGGTGATCAAATGATGGGTGTTTGAAAAACTCTGAAATATAGAGGTGGAGTTGGTCTGAATTTTTAAGATGGTGGATCATGTCTGAATTTTAGATACTGTTAATCCCATGCAAAGGATGATAGGGTCACAAAATGAGAAAGGTCATCAGAGATCAATGGTCGTCCAATATTTTCACTGGACTCGACGTGGAAACTGATGCCAAAGGCTGGAGTTACCAACTCAAGGTTCAATTCATATTCTTTCTTTTTTCCTCCCTCCCTCCCTCCCCTCTCCTTCCCTCCCACCTTCTGTCTATCTCTGCTTTTTAATTATGGTACTAGAGATTGAACCCAAGGTGTCTTCCCAGGCTACACGTCCAGCTCTTTATTTTTATTTTGAGATAGGGTCTCGCTAAGTCACCAAAATGCTCAGGCTGGATTTGAACTTGTGTTCCTCCTATTTTAGCCTCCCAGAGTGCTGAGATTACAGATGTTAGATACCAAGTTCAGCTTTAAATTTCTTTCATATTTTTTTTAAATTTAAATTTAAATTTTTTTTTCTTTCATATTTTGTGCTTTCCTAAAAATTTGAGATTCCCTTACTCTCTCTTCCCCATCTGCACAGCGTCAGGAAGAAAGTTTGTTTATTTAGTGTGTGTGTGTGTGTGTGTGTGTGTGTGTGTGTGTGCGCGCGCGCGCGTGTGTGTGTGCGCGCGCGCGCGCTACCCGGAGCAACAAACAAGTCCCTTTTAATCGCTTCCTTTCCGCTCCCCTTCTGGCAGGCTTTGACATACCCCCCAAGTCTTTCCATTGGGAGCTTTGTGTGGCTTCTCGCCCCCTTCCAGGACTCCCAGCCAATCACCTCTGCCCTCTTGCATCCCGTTGGGCTTTGAGGACTGTACCATATGGACCTCGCGGGGGGGGTGGATGAGAGGAAGGGAGTGGAGAGGATTCATTCCTTTGCCTTTTACATATAAGCTACGAGATTCCGTCAAAGTTAGAGACTGGAGGTAGCAGTGGGGTCCCAGAGGTCGGGGGGCCGCGTGCCACCTCGGCGCCGTTGAGAGCGCGCCCCCCGGGCCCAGGTCGCGTGGTCGGCCCTGGAGGGCCGCAGCCCCGCCCTGCCATGTGCCCGCCCCGCCCCGGCGGCGCAGCTTTGGCTTCGGCTCCTGCTCCGGCTTCAGCTCCTGCTCCCGCCGGACGCCGCGGGCGGCGCGCTGGGGTGCAGGGCCCCGGGTCCCGGCCCGCCTCAGGGACGCCGGCGCCGGGCGACGCCGCAGCATGAGGCGGAGGTGAGGACCTGGCTGCCGAGCGCCTCGCGAACCGCATCCCACTCGCGCTTCTCTCGTGGCTCGGTGGCCGCCGCGACCCGACGTGTGGCCGCGGACGGCCCGCGCGGGCAGCCCGGGGCTCCGGCACGCTGAGGGCGCCTCCTCCTGGCGGCGCCTCGCACCCCGTGGTCCGGCCTGCGGGGTCCCCCTCCTCGCGCTTCCCGCCCTGGCCGGCCCCTGCCCTTGACCCCGGAGTTGGATGTTAGGTCGGTTCGGCCGGGCGGGCTCGCGGTCGGGCGCAGGGTGGGCTGGCGCCGGGAGCCCGGAAGGCGTCGGGCTCGCGGGGGTGCCGGGGAGGCTCTGTGGGTTGCACAGGGTTGCGCAGAGTCCTGCGGGCGTCCCCAGCCTCCAGGGGCAGGTCCCGTCCAGAGATCCTGGGTCTGGAGGCTGGCATGCGCGGTGTGTGGGTTGGCGAGGTTGTTATGGCAGGTGGCCAGGAGAGAACCCTAAAATTTTCTTGTGTTGGTGGGGTTAGGTGGGGGGATGGGACCTAGGCCTCGTTATCTAAGGACAGCCCCCTCCCCTAAGTGCCTTACAGAGTGGTGACACCCTTGCAGGTCTTCGTGGCACGCTGGCAATTCCTAGTTTTAAAAAATCACCTTGAGGAGCCCTCCACAGATCCGCAGCTTGTCTGGTGTTAGCAGAAAGCCAGATGTAGTGATAGTCGCCTGCAGGTCTCCGCATCCCAGCCTGATAGGGATCGCATCGTTCAGCTCCTTCAGTTTGTGGGGCGTTAGGGGTACTTCAGACGGCTGGGGCTCTGGCTCTATACTTGATCCCTTTAGAGGACACAGGCTGGCAATGTATCTTGGCTGATTTTTCTCCAGAGTCTGAACGAAAAGAAAATACTTCCCAAAATACAAAGCACATTTATGTTCATTTAGTGTTGATGTTTAAGGGAGACATTAATTATGGTTTACATGAAATGAGCTAATGCAGGGCAATGGAGATGTTTTGTAGGTTCTTTTTTCTTATGCTTACTTTTTTTTTTTTTTTAAAGTGGGAAGTAGATGGAGAGAATGGTACCAGCACATCCATGTGTATTTTGTACCCTCTGACAGTTTGCTATGTAGCTAGTCATTTCGGATTGTACCCCAGGGGTGAGAGTGAGACAGAGTTTACGGTGAGAAAGACATCTTATTACAAATTGCCGCTGCCAGCGAGAGGGAGGCATCACCTTCTCATTACTTGGCCACACAGGTGCCAGTTCATTGTTGTGGTCGCCTTTTACTAGCAGATCTCTAAAGGGCCTTTAAGATGTTGTTATAAATTTTATATTTGATTGTCATATGTACTCAGGTCAGAAATTTGGCCCTGGTTATTGTAGCCTTACAGTGAGTTTTTCTCTGCCGCAGGTTGTAAAACCTTTTAGAAGGTTGGGAATGTATTAAGTAGCATGCCTTATTTTCAGAATTAGAGGACAGATGTCATTTGGGTGTTCCTCATCCAAAGAATCGTTTAGAACTTGGACCTGGTTTTTCAGCCAAAGCTCCTTTTTATAACAGTAACATTTGAAATGTCTAAAACTTGACAGCCAGATTGATTTTTCCCCTTCTTACCTGGGATGGTTATTTCATGGTGTTTCTAGGTATGAGTGAGAAAATGGGCTTTGGAGATAACATAGGAAAAGTACCTAGCTCAGTGGTTGGCACATAGTAAGTGTTCAATAAAGATAAAAAAATTTTTTTCCTCCTCAGTTTTTTTTCTCTGAGACAGGGTCTTGCTGTGTAGTTCAGGCTGGTGTTGAACTCATTCTGTAGTCCAGGCTGGCCTCAAACTCATGTTGTCCTCCCACTTCAGCCTCCAGAGTGCTGAGATTATAGGCTTGCACCACCCTGCCAGGCTGGATGCATTTTGATTGTATGTTCTTTGTAAATTAGATTAGCTTCCCCTTACTCCTCCTCCCACTCCAACCTCCAAGTTCTTCTGACTTTGTGCACCTGTGTGTGTGTGTGTGGTACTGGGGATTGAACCGCAGAGCCTTCACACTGAGCTACATCCCCAACCCTTTTTACTTTTAATTTTGAGACAGGGTCTCACTTGCCAGGTTGCCTGGGTTGAGTGCTAACTTGTAGTCCTCCTGCCCTAGCTTCCCAGAGTGCTGGGGTTATAGGCGCATCTCCCAGCATTTTATTTATGTTTGTTTATCGGTTGAAACAGGGTCTCACTATGTAGTTCAGTCTGGCCTTGAACTCATTGTGTAGCCAAGGCTGTCCTGGAACTCATGGCAATCCTCCTGAGTCAGCCTCCTGAATGAGTGCTGAGATTACTGGTGTGCATGACCACACCAGCCGCCAGCATTTTAATAGTAAGTTAAAAGTGAAACTTACACCCTTGTACCTATAAGTAAAAATCAAGGAAAAATTGAGCTCTTCCTCCTGGCTCTTTTTTTTTTTTGGTATGTGTGTGTGTGTTTGTGTGTGTGGCACTGAGGATTGAACCACTGAACCTAAGGGCACTGTATCACTGAGCTATATCCCTATCCCCTTTTATTTTTTATTTTGAGACAGGGTCTTGCTAAATTCGAAGTGGGACTTGAACTTTCAGTCCTCCTGCTTTAGCCTCCCTAAATGCTGGGATTAGGGACATTTGCCACACATCTCGCACATATTGCTTTTCTTTCTTTCTTTCTTTCTTTCTTTCTTTTTTTTTTTGAGATAGAGACTCTATATTCTAGACAGCCCTTGAACTCACTGTGTAGTTTAGGCTGGCCTTGAATTTGCAGCAACCCTCCTGCCTCAGCTGCCTGAGTGCTGGGATTCATATGTGTGCCACCACACCCAGCATTTTTCCTTCTTTCTTTTTTTTGGAAACAGGATTTCACTGTGCACTTCAGGCTGGCATTGAACTCACTATGTGGCCCAGGCTAACCTTGAACTAGCACTCTTCCTTCCTCAGCCTCCTGAGTGCTAGGATTATAGACATGTACCACCACAACTGCCTCCATAATTGCTTTTTTGTTGTTGTTGGTACCAGGGATTGAACCTGGGTCCTTGCACTTGCAGGGCAGGCGGTGGAACCACTGAGCTAAATCCCCGCCCTTCCATGTTCCATTTTTAAAGAAAGGATAGTGCTTGTATAAGAGGTCTCTTACCACTCAGTCCAGGAGAAGAAATGGCCAGAGGACCTGTCTTGGTCGGTTCAGTATTCTTAGAGATGAGGTTTTTGCTTGTTGCTGGTTTTATGTCCCGTGGAACAGTGTTACCTAATTTCTTCTGCACTGGTGGATGGAGTGAGCCAGGGTGGTGGAGGCCAGGCCAGGTGCTCGGGGAAGGTGCTTTGCTTTCATGGCTCGGTCTCTGCTGGCCTCTGCAAGGAGCAGCTGTTTACCTTCTCCTGTTCATAATGGGCCCATGAAAAGATTAAAATCCTATCAGACAGACTTAATGTTCTTGAAAAAATAACCATCATTGATTTACTTGTGTCCCATAATATTGAGCATGGCATTTTAATAATAATCATGCTCTGAATTTATATACTGCTTTTTCTTTGAGAAAGTGGAATATTTTTCACCTGTTCTCTCATTGATGCTTATTTATTTATCTATTTATGAACTATTGAGGATTTAAACGGGGGCCTAGGTAGCACTAAGCACTGGCTTTACCACTGAGCCAGCCCTTTCCCAGCCCAATCTCATTGGCTTTTTTTTTTTCAGTGCTGGGGGTTGAACCCAGGATCTTTGCACTGAGCTACTTCTTCATCCCTTTTTTTTTTAATTTTTTTTTTTTTTTTTTTTTTTTTTGGTACTGGGGATCAAACTTGGGATTTTGCACTTTCAAGGCAGGCGGTGGAACCACTGAGCTAAGTCCCCGGCCCTCTTCATCCCTTTTTGAATTTCTAAATTTTGAGACAGGTCTCACTAAGTCACTGAGTTGCCCAGGCTGGACTCAAACTTTTGTTGTTTGTGGGGAGAGAGCTTGAACTTTTGATCCTCCTACCTCAGCTTTCCAGAATTCTGGGATTACAAGTGTGTAGCACCAGGCCCAGCCTCATTGATTCTTGTCTCTGAGGTCATCAAAGTGGATGTAGTACAGTATATTATTACCATTTTATACATGAAGAAATGGAATCGACATGATTTGCTCTCAATTGTAAGTGTGCTGGTCTTTGAGCTAGGTTTTTCTTCTTATATTACATTCATTGTTACCTTCAGAGGAAAACACACACACACATGCACATGCACGCACACACACATTTGTCTGGATACTGAAAGACATAGACCGGACCATTGTGCTTTTCTTAGCTACTACATAGCTAAGAATAGTTAACGTCCTTGCATTCTGGGAGGCTGAGGCAGGATTGGGCAGGATTGCAAGTTCAAGTCCAGCCTGGGCAACCTAGCAACTTAAATAGTTGGGGTATTTATCTGCAGTAACATGTGCTAGGTGCTTTGTGTACATCATCTCATTTATTCCATACAATATTTAAGGTAAGTAAGACTTCCTCTTCATAAGTTTTCAGGGTTTGGTGAAATCCCAGGTCAAGGGGGTGACAGTGAGAATCTTTGACCAGAAAGCAAGGCTGGGGGCTCAGACCTGGGCTCTGATTCCAAAGTGAATCCTCTCAGCCCATGCTTCAGCACGGACTGATGCGCATCTCAGTCTGTGCTGTCTGTCGCTGCCACCCTTCCTGGGTCTGCTGGCTGTGGGTGTCCCGGGGGTCTGTTTGTCATTGCAGGGCTGTTTTCACACTCCGTTCCTTTGGCAGAAGCACTAACCAGGGGGACAGTCATTACTTTCGAAAAAATAGAGCTAAAAAACCATCTGTATTTGGAGAGTGTGAAGTATTTAATAAATCCAGATGGGAAGATTAGGGCCAGAGAATCGAGGTGGTTTGTGGACAGAGGGAATTAGTGATGTTCCGATCCAGAGGCCACCTTTAGTGCCCAAACTTTTCTACTCAAGCAGCTGGTTAAATTGTAAAATTGGAGGCACAGTACTTTTGCTAAAGTCTGCAGTAAG